CCTTCCTATTAAAATGAAATGAATGACACAGTTAAAAAACGTCGTTGTCACATCCTAGAATTGATTGCGATGAATATCACAATATTAAAATATGTAGTAGGTTGTTTATAAAAGAATATAATATGACGTGAGCAAAGTCTAACATGACTCGTTTGGCGGTAACTAATGAAATATGTGTATACGGTACATAACAACATAAACTACATGTTCATAGTTGGACAACTATGCGCATGTAATCTGTGAACATCGTTTCGAACTTACCACTAAATACAAGATAGACACCACGACGAAAATTACTGATAAATGCTGCATGGCAATCTATGTAGGCAGAGAGATGCGAATACTAGTCGATGGATACAACCTGTTGAGTTATGTTTAACCACCCGCTTTTAAACTAACTTTTCAATGGTCTCAGTTTGTGACGTCATCTCATGAGGTTTCCCCAAGTTGTCCCGTTTATTTACAATCCAATAGCAAAATACGTTGAGCATTGTACCGAAACACTAATTAAGATTTAATTAATTTCACTCATTTAGGGAGTGCTAATAATTATGTAATTTCACCAGATGTCACATAGTAATTAGTATTAATCGCAACAAACACACTCAGTGCGCGTTAAAACAATAAAAGTTACACGTGAACAAAACCTTGGATGAACATCTGTCAGAGTTTACACCTGATTAATAAACGTAACAACTTATTATATAATTTGAAGTCTGATGCCAAATTATGTTCACGACCTACTTGATTGAAATCAGAATCGTTCACATGAAACAAGCGAACATCGTCCACGACGTATTCATATTAAGACTATATAATGTAGCAGTTTGTTTGAACGCTAAGTCAGTGGTACATGACAATTTAATTCATTTCTAGTCATTTTCACATCAGATGAAAACAATTTCATTTGATAGAGCTCTAACAAAAGCATGTTAAAGTTCTCGATTTCGCAACATAACAGATCGAAACACAAAGAAACAAACTGCAACAATTGGGTTAGTCATAAGATCATTGAAGTGTTTTGATGGTATTTACTTTTCAATGCTGAGTAAAAAGACTGCTATAACATTGTCACAGTATGTTTTACAGCGTCTACTGAGACGATTAATTTACGTCATCACTAATGTAGGATATTATTTTATGCTTGCACAAACTCGTATATCCGACTAATACATGTGATTATTATGACATGTCAAACGAAAGACGCGAATGAACAAATAAACGAATGAATCAATGAACGAATGAAAGAACGAATTAATTAAAGATCGGACGAGCAAATTGAATTATGTCATCTGTAATATGTCAACTGTCATAAAGTATACTGACATTATATTTTTTTTATTAATTTGTACGATATTCGGAGAAAGAGCTCAGTCATTTTTCTGGAAGCCAAGCTTTAATAGTGGCTAACAGAAAAGTAGAAGTTATAATTACTCGGCTACATGTCGCCACACCCACCCAAAACTAAACGAACTAAAATAAATAAAATGATATAGTGTTTACAAATGTTTCCGTAATCTTTTGAGGTCCTACGTAAACATTCAACTCATGCAATAATTGTATGTATAACACTTTAATATATTACTTAATTGTCATACCAATTGCATGAATTATGAAGTTACATGTAGACACTCCAGAACAACGCAATTGAAACTGACACACACCATATACTAGTATTAGTATTAGTAAATTGTGGTCTTCTAGTGTCACGTCATGACACCATCGCTAGCTATGTGTCCGGGCACGATGTCACATATATTTATTCCCTTACCATAGAGGGTTCCGAGATACAGTTTAGCAATATTCATCAACCAGTTTTTGATATAGCATACTATATTGCTATTTATTTTTCCAACATATTTTAGTAAAAT